TCGCCGCCCTCGAGCGCGCCCGCGGCTCCGCCTCCGCGTCGTCGAATCCGTCGTCGAACCCACCGCTCAACCCCACCACGGGCTCCCATTCGAATCCGAACGCCCACGGGGACGGCGGAGGGGGAGGGGGGGGGTCGCCGTTGCCGCCGCTGCCGTTGCCGATTTCCCTCCGCGGCGGCGCGCGACCCACCCCTCCAGTGAAGGGCGGCAACGCCTCCTCCTCTTCCTCCTCCGTGCTGCCCTCCGGGACGGGCGGCGGAGGCCGAGGAGGAGGTCGCCGGGAATCGGAGCTGCGAGAGTCGATCGAGTTCACCCTCCTAAAGCTGAACGCGATGACGAAGCGGGTCGGAGGGGAGGCCACCGCGGCCACCCCCCCTTCCACCGATCGCGAGCTGCTTCGGCAGCTTCAGAGGGATATCGCGGATATACAACAGCGGTTGTTTAAGGCGCTCGAGCGGTGCGATACCGGCGCCGTCGGCATCGACGGAGGGAGCGGGAAGAAAGCGAAGGCTGGCGAGAAGCGGAAGATGGGGGTGCGATAAGGCGCACGCCGTTGAATGGAGAGGGGGAATCTGTGAAGGACGTCTTTCGTCGAATCTTGCTCCTTTGCTTTCCTTCTATTTCTTTTTTCCTTCTCTCTCTTTCTCTCCTTCTCTCGCTCTATCCATCTGAATGTGTATCTCTCTCTATATCTATACAGATTGAGGACATTCATGTTTGCGATATCATAGTTGTTTAATCATGGATTATGGTGTTGATCGATGGGGATATTTCCCTTCCCTGTTTTTATTTGTTGACAGAGGCGACCCGTTTTACCCCCCCTTTTTTTGCCCTCTTATGCAAGGAAGGGGTACTACATTTGTCTGTTCTATTGTTTGCCATCGCGATTAGCAGTATCACTATAGTAGTTAGATGTTACCTTTGGTCAATATATAATTCTTAATGCTGAAGGCTACCGCATTTCTGCATTGGGGGGTGGCTTCTAACAACTTCATGTGGATAATGATAGATTTTTACTATCAATATTTTTTAAATTTCTTGTACATCTCTTTGTTGTTTGTATCAAGTAATTATCTCTTATTTTTTAGGTGGTGCCATCGATGACGCTTGTAGTAGTAGTGTGAACAGAAACCCAATTTAGTTCAACTCGTCATGCGAACAGACTTTTTTCGCATGCTTGTATTTTATTTTATTTATTTTGTAGCCGGACTTTCTTTTTTCTGTACATAAATGCGAAAATGCTCTCATGTAATATTATTTAGCATTTGAAGGGTACTGTACTTCGTTTGTATGTTGCCTGGCATACCACAAAAGTTCTACACATTGGTAGAAAGCGAACCAATAAAATCGCACGAAGGTGATGTCACCAACAAAACCATTCCTGAGTTTACTTGCTCGGATTTTTAGTGTTTTCATTCTTGTCTACTGCTTCTGTTGACGTTCTCCATTTCGCTCGTTTGTGCGTAAAAGATAAAGCGATAGCACATAATCAAGCAAAGCATCCTTCAAAAGATTTTATAGGGTGTGGAAAGGAGGTTTTCTTTTTCTTTTCCTTTTCTTTGTCAGCCTTTTTGATTTTTAACTCGGCAAGTTTGACCCCAATTAGTGAGGAGGGGTAGGGTGGAGTTATCTATCGAAAAGCGCGAGATAGGCGAAGGGCGAAAATGCAGCGTCGGGTGCTTGGGAGTTTTGTTGGGGTTATGAACGGTGGTGTTGCGTTGCATCAAGCACGGCGTACGAAATATATTCGGCATCCCAGCCCGAATTGGGATCCCGTCCACGAGGATATCAACGCGCACGTGAAGAAGCGCATCCCGGGAGAAACCCGCGTCGATCGCGTGAAGCGGTTCGCGCGGGAGTGGCGTAACGTGGAGCTGGAGCTCGGCGTCTACACCGACTCGCGCGGGCGCGATATTAAATACCGGAAGACGTTTGTCTATCGTTACACCTACCCAAACGCGTTTGATGAGTTCTGGTGGCCATGCAAGTAAATTGCTTAAAAGTAGGGTGAATAAAACAAGAAAGCAAACAGGGGCCGTGTGGGGGAAACCAAATGAAGGTTCTAGCGAGGGTAGCAGCCATCGAGATGCCACGTGCTGAAAAAAGGAGTTGACGTCGATGAATGTTCATTTTTTTTTCTCAAGGATGGAAGTGCCCTCTGTGTGAATACACTTTGTGCTTTTTTTTTGTATTGGAAGTACCTGCTCATTGCGTTTTTTGAGTGCATTGCAACGGTTCTTGAGCTAGGAGGAAAACTTTTCGTTAGGTTGGTCTTAAAAAGGTTAGAAATGGGGGCGTAGATGTAGGATATAGCAGGTAGTATATACGCATATATATATATATATATATATATATATATTAGAGAACCTAAGTGGTCATGTGGTTTGCGTTCAAATTAGTATCAGTGTGGCTTCTCATGCTTTATAAAACAACAAATTATTAGGATTGACTATCCCTTTGTTGATTTGTAGACTTACGTTCATTTACGTATTGGATTGGGTGCCTTTAACACCGGAAAGTATAAAACACACTGACTTTGTTGCACTCTATAGAGAGTCTATATAGATGTCTACATTTTTCTCTATGTGATAAGTTTAGCTTTAGCGCTTCATTGCTTCCCTTCTAGGTTTTCCTTTTTGAGATCTGGTACCCTTGTTCTATTTCGAGCGGCGCGACTCGGACTCGCGTCCCTTTGCGTTGCCTTGCTTTTCGCTTCATTGTTTCCCCAGTTTTCCCGCCGTCTGCGGCCCATCGGCGGTCTGACCCAAAACAAAAACAACCCCCACGCACCACAAAGAAGCCGCCTCCGCATGCGCCCGACGCGCTTCACGTTCTACGACTCCTACCGCGCCGCTTGTGGGGATCTTCGGCCGCTCTTTTCCCCGCACCGGACGCCGGCGCACGTGCGGCAGGCGATCCGTCGCCGCCTGCGCGGCGCGGCCTCGCTCCCCCGCCGCGC